GCCCAAACATGGCGAAGGCGCTGCAGCCGCCGGCGCAGCTCCACACATGCTCGCATGCCAGCAATGGCGACCGAGCCGTCGAGATTGCTCAACTAGCGGTTCAGCTGGATGTCTCTGCGCCGCCATGTCGCCGAGCTGAGAACTGCGAACATGCCTGCTCGTCGCCGTGATTTGCTGCCCCCCATTGGCAAATGACGCAAGCTTGGGCCGCGGCGTATTCCGCCTCGCAGGCTGCCTGGACCAATCCATGCCACAAGACTCGCTCCAACGAGAAACCCTTTTGCCCTGCGATTTCCAGGCTGCCAATTGCCCTACGCCTGCGCAAAAACCTGCGCCTTCAGGAAGCTGAGATGCGCTTTACCTGTCTGCCGGATGAGTGCAACAAGTGGCTGGCACTTGTGGGGAAACTCCAGCAGCTCTACGTCCTGCCCCCAGCCGTCGCCCTCCACGCCCTTGGCGTAGCACTGCGGCAATAATAATTGCAAGAGGGCCCCGGCTCATGCCCCCCATCGAAGCTGAAGGAGTGCTTCAGGATCCCCCAGCGCAAGATCCCAATTGATTGCGTCTGTGCCCATGCTTCCAGCGAGCGGTGCGAGTTGAAGTCAACGCTGCCATTATTCAGCGCCCTGCTTGGGGCCGCAATCTGTGGACGCCAGGACACGCTTGGCGCTGTGCATTGCCTTGAACTTCGACTGCTTCCACACGTCGACAAACTCATGCAAGAACTTCTTCCTCGTGTCCGCCGACGGCTGTCATCTGAGTGTCTATAGGCGTCGGATCAGTGTGGTGGGCCAATAGTGGGTATCATCGTGATCGTGCGCGCCCTTGTCGGCCCCGTCGGTTCGCAACTGGTGGCGTCGTCGTAGTACCAACCTCTGCGCGAGGTGCCCCTTTGCGGCCCTCCGATCTTATGGGTCCTGGCGGAGAATTTCTGCGCGTGCTGTGCGTCTTGCCCCCGCCAATATGATCCTATACCGCCTGGGCGGTATTGGCTTGCAAAGCTCTCTGCTAATGTTCGTATGTGTCAGTCGGTGCTTATGAACTGCACTCCCTTGCAATTCAGTCAGTAACCTGTGCGCCCCAAATAATAGAAATGCATCACTCAGCAAGCGGCATGGTGTGTACACACCTATAACTATATACATATATGTGTCGTTGCCCCTATTTCCTCGCAAGCGGGAAAAAATGTTATCCAATGTGGCAGCATGCTGCAACCGTAATTTCCTATCTAACTTGATGATTGCTACCCATTTCGTGATGCTGCCCAACAACACAGCCAGGCACACGATATGATCGAGGTTTGACCCAGACCCCCTCTGAAAAACAACGTGTTGCTTGGTGACCGGAAAGTCGGCGCGATGCTCGTCCCCCGTTCTTCTGCGAACGTCCGTAGTTCTGCTCTGTGCCCAACTCTACTATTACAAGCTCCAGTCACGTCCCACCCTATTCCAAACCCGCAGTTATAATCTCCCGCAAACAACCGGGAGCGTGTCGTGGCCCTTTCACTACTCTGCTTGATGATCCACCGCAACATGCGGTGATTGGCCTCCTCCAGAATGGGGGGGACGCGTGTTATTCGGCGGGGAATACACTTTGAAGATGCAGATGGATGGCTCCTGCACGTACAGCTTTTACTTTGGCCACTCTGCCCGTTATGTTTTCTGATCACGGCGGTGTCGATGTCCATTGCACTCCGTACACATACTGGCCAAGCAAGACTGCGATACCACAACTTTTGTCGCATTTCCGAAAGCGTCAGCCCAAACTTGGAAACCTATGATGCGGTAGAGAATTGCCCGCTGGACGCGTAGTCGACGTCTGTGTGCCTCTGCGTATTGGTGACGGTAAATGCGTCTACACTCTGGCACTGCATGCTGATGTCCTCCAGCCGGGTGTGGTCCACGCTCTGCGCGCTGCACCCAGATGAGACGCATCGCACTCCTCCCCCACTGACTGTGCTCCTCATGGCCCCTAGGCCGCCTTCGGCCCGAGAAGCGCCATGGGTGTCCTGTGTAAGGACATGTGGAGTTTTGGGGTGCTGTCGGTGCCTGGAACTTCTCTCAAGCCTCTGCGGCAGCTTGGAGAGGAGGAAGAGAGTGAGGAAGAGGGGGAGGGAGGGAGATGAAGGCTCTCTCGGACACATTGTGGCGTGGACCCTTTGGCCCCGCTGGAGCAAGCACAGACACTCTGAAAGCCACTTGCTGATCAGCCTAATCGGATAGGTACCCCCACCCGGTGAGCAAGAAACACTGGGCTCTGGAGGCGGGCATACAAGCGCCGCTGCATTCCGCGAGCGCTCGCCTGCTCTCGGGTGCGCCGAAGAGGGAGGCCAGGAACAAAGTCAACATTGGTGGCAAGGATGCACGACAAGGATGCGAGCCCCTTGGAAGACCATGTCAAAGCTACTCGAGCGGGGCTGGCCATCGAAAGTGATTAGCGATGGAGCGAAGAGGTAAGGATGCAAGGGTACCCTTGGAAAGGCTACCCATCCTTATCATCGATTTCGACTGTATTGGGGGGGGGGGGGGGGCGCATCATGGCCCGAGATATTAGCGCGGACGAGGGGGGGGCAGGGGATGTGTGAACATAAAATGAGGAGGCCACGAATCATGCCGTCATCTGAGAGATGTCATGGCCCTGGCCATGACATCGCCACACAAACAATAACACACACACACGCACACGCACACACGCACACACGCACACACGCACACACGCACACGCACACACACACACACGCACACACACACACACACACACACACACACACACGCAAACACCCACACACACACACACACGGTCCAGAGGAATGAATACCTGCACAGGCACAACCTTTCCACAAATGTCTGCGCGGACTCCCTGGACCTGCACTGGACGACTCTGGCGTCGCCTCCTGCGCCGCCCCTGGCGCGCTCTGCCGGTCCTTGAATGTCGATCCAAGGAATCCGCGCGGACATCCGAAGATGTATGATGTGCCGTTCTTTCGTCCCCGATGGTCTTCGGCCCCCCTCGTGGACGCCCCCGATACTTCCAGGGCCGCCTGCTGCCCGGCAGGTCCCTGGGGCCCGCTCCCTCGAGGGAGAGAGGAGGGAGAGGGAGCCTCTGGCACCCAGCGCACGGCCGGGGCCCCTCGGCACCCACTCCTAGGGCGGCGCGCACAAGGGGGAGGTGGGGCCGCATCCGGCGGCCTCCGACAAGGCAGGCGGCTTCTTGAAAGGGCCCAAGGGCTTCCGATAAGACATCCGAGGAGCACCCAATGCCCTTCTGAGCAGGCCCCCGCCCTCTGAGAAAGACGACCCCGCCTCCTCGGAGAACCTCCGCCCCCCCTTTTGCGCGCGCCGGCAGCACTCCGCACGGGCCTGACCGTCGATTCGCGGGCAAATTCGGAGCGGAAGACGGTTCGCCGCGGCGCCACGGGGACGACGAGAACGGCGTGAGCCAACAGCTCCCGGAGGTCCGCCCGGACCTCTCGGGCCCAGCGCTACCCCCCGGCGGCGCCGGAGCCGCCGCGGGCGAGCTCCGCGCGCAGGGCGACGGGGGGCGCGCAGCGCCGACCCAACGAATCCGGGCGGACTTCGGATACAGCGGGAGCTCGGCCACAAGAAGCCTTCCTGAGAAACCAGACCTTGAGACCCCAGGACGTCCATTGATCTTTGGTGCGGGAACGTCACGTTGTCTGGAGCAGAACCATCGGAACCATGGGGCACCCTGGAGGCAGGCAGGGTGTTTCTTGGCATGGATGTCCACTGTAGCTTCTGCTCCTGCGGGCTTCTGACAGCTTCTGCAATGAATGGGGGAGAAGGAAGGTGCCCTTTATCGGGCCCTACAGGCCCCCGTTTTGGGCCTCAAAGGGCCCCTGTCAGGGCCCCTTCAGGGCCCCATTTCTGCACCCCTCGCTGCCCCCCCAAGTATCGGCTCCCCATTGATCGCCGCCCGAGCCCAGGACCCGCGAACTTCTGACAGCTTCTTTACTCGGGGGACCTGTTGAGGCCAGCGGGGACAACCTAGGGGGCTGTGGGAAGCTGAGCGCCGCCTCTTCAGGATCGAGGATCGAAGGCGAGGGTCGAAGATCGAGGGTCGAGAATCGAGGAGCCTCCCTCACCCCTGACATCTGGCAGCCCGACTGTTCGAGGCACGGGCGCCTGGATCTGTCGGCACCCGCGGGGGGGCGTTCTCCTCCCAGGCTGGTGAGCTTAAGGTCCGAGGGAGTGCTCAGAGCCCTTCTCCTACAGTCGGCCCGTATCATAAGGATGCACGATGAGGATGCAAGGGCCTTGGACGCCCATGTCGAAGCTTCTCGAGCGGGGCGCGGCCCACGAAAAAGGCCAAGGATGGACCGAGGAAGCAAGGATGCAAGGGTATCCGTGGGAAGCTTGCCTATCCTTACCACGCGGGCTGACTGTACCACGAGTGGTCCGAGTCCTTCTCTCCTTCTGCCCCACCTTCATCTGGACGCAGCCCCGCTCTCGGCCGGCCCCGGGGGGCGCAACACTGCACGCAGGCCCCCTCGAGCTCCCTCGTAAGCCTCACGACCTTCCCCCGTCTGCGACGGCCGACGGCTCCACCGTCTCCGCCGTGCGAGGGAGGGCGGATATCTGCTAGGTGGCCCACGTGACCTCGGCCCTGTTCAGCCACCTGGTATCTCGATGTGTGTTGCCAAGTGGGCCCTAGGCATGCCAGAGCATCCTCCGCTCCTTCCTCTCCTTGTTTGTTTCTCCTCCCGCGTGGACTCACGCAGCAACACGCACACTGCGCGATATGCACATTCGTCTGTCTGCGCATCGATTGCATGTTCATCAATTGGCGTGGCCATGTCAACCTCCAACGACGGAGGGCTAGACCGCGCAAGCCATCGCGACACCCTGTTCATCAAGAATCGTGCTCTTTCCATCCCACTGGTCCCACCAATGCCGTCCGTCTGACCCTCCCAGGAGGCCCAGCAAGACCTCGCCAACCATCGGGGGACTAACCCTACTACTTATCAGGTTCTGGGTCCCACTCACTCCACCAATCCTACCAGCGCCAGAAGGATACCCTGCTACTTATCGAATTATGTGTCCGTCCGACTCGACCAAGGCCACCAGCGCCGACTGACACTCCGGGGAGAACCCGCCAGACTGCCACAACAATTGGGACAGACATTTACCTGTCACAGTTCGCGCTTTTCCAACCCGGGGTCGGCCAGACTTGCTCCTCGCAACCGCGGGGAAGCCGAGACAGGATCAGTCTCGCTCTCCCTAGTGTGGACGGGGGAGGGGAGGAGAGGAGATCGGGCATTCCCTCATAGGGGGACCATCGACGAGGGGCAGGGGAAGGTTCACCTTTCGCGTACCTGCGGGGCCGCAACCCTCGACCCCCCAGCTACGAAGCGCCCCAGGAGGGGAGGGAGTGATGTCTCCGAAGGTCTGCGGAGGCCCCCGTGAGTCTCCAGGGGCCCCCTGGATATCTCGAGGGTCTCGTTGAGCCTCTGGAAGCCTCTGGGGAAGGTATCCTCAGGCGCACATAGTGGCAAGAGACATGCCCATGAAACACCAGGTGAGCGTATCCTTGGTCGACTCTGCTGGCCTCGGAATTCTGATCTGAACGAGCCCCATGACGGGTCGAACCGTCGGCGTTGGGAGGACAGAGAGGAGACACAATAGGAGGAACTCTCTCTATAAGCAATCGTGTACAAACGGATGCTTCACGAAACGGCGACTGACCTAGCACTCGCTGGCGCCGACAGACTGCGCCGACAGCTGGACGTCTTCGCTGACCTGAAGCGGAAGAAACAATGCACTATCATCTTCCTCCTCTTCCTCAACGTCCTGCTCCTCCTCATTGTCGTCCAAGTCCTCGTAGTCCTCCTCCTCCTCATCCTTCTGCTTCTCCTCCCCTCGCCGCTCTCATCTCCCCTCCTCTCCCCCCCCTCTCCTCTCCTCTCAGCTTATCCTCCCTCTACTACTCATCTTTCTGCGTCTCCTCCCCTCTCCCCTCGCCTCTCCCCTCCTCTCCCCCCCTCTCCTCTCCTGTCATATTCTCTGCCTCCTCCTCCTCCTCCTCCTCCTCCTCCCCCGAGATGGTGTTATGCCAAATGGAATCCCAATCCACCGACTGACCCATGATTTCGCACCCGAAAACGACAATCCCACTACCGTCACCTACGGTACGTCGTAGTGGGGGAGGAGAGGAGGAAGGCAGAAAGCTGCGAAATGAATCTACTGGGCACGCGTGATCCTACACCTGTCAGCTCTAGCAGCGTCATCACCGAGACAAGCCCTAAAAACCCATTATAAAATCATCCCGGCAAAGCAACCTAACAGCGATGTGTAGAAGCATAGCTGGAAACATTGCCTGTGGTATTCATGTAAGAGTGCTGTTGTAACATTCTGGTGTTCTCGCAGTCGCATGCGGATTCGCAGTGGCAGTCGCAGTGGCAACATCAGCGGCAGTCGCAGTGGCACTGCCAGTAGTTGCAGTAGCAATAGCTACACTAGCAGCAGCAACAGCAGCAGCAGCAGTAATGCTAACAGAAGTAGTAGCAGTAAAAATAGTAGTAATGGTAGTAGTGGTAGCAGTGAAGGAGTAGTTGTAGTGTGTGGAGTGAACGAGTAGGAGTGATGGGAGCAGTTCCTTTGAAAGGAAATTTTCGAAAGCAGGGCTGTAGCCAAGAAGGCTACGGGGACGATGATGATGATGATGATGATGAGTCTTGGAAGTCTGGGAAGTGGAAGAGCACGAAGTGGCGTACAGTTGGCTCCGGGCATTCAAAATGTGGCCCAAGAATGGAGTTCTGGGAAGTGGAAGAGCACGAAGTGGCGTACTGTTGGCTCCGGGCATTCAAAATGTGGCCCGGGAATGGAATTCTGGAAACTCGAAGACCACGAAGTGGCCTACAGTTGGCTCCGGGCATCCAAAATGTAGCCCGGGAATGGAGTTCTGGGAACTCGAAGACCACGAAGTGGCCTACAGCTGGCTCCGGGCATCAAAATGTACGCCGGGAATGGAGTTCTGGGAACTCGCGAAGAGCACGAAGTGGCCTACAGTTGGCTCCGGGCATCCAAAATGTACGCCGGGAATGGAATTCTAGCAGCGCCAAGAGCGATTTTGCAAGGATGTCCCAAGCGATTTGGGCTTCGGCGGCAGCCGCCCCGGGTCCCGCCCCGACCCCCCTGAGGAGTCATGATGCTCTCTTTTGACCCCACTAGAAACCTATCAGTATTCGCTGTTAGGTAAATACGTACGCGCCCAACCATGGCCAATAACACGGCTCCTCGATCCGCGAGACCGGCCGTGTGATACGACCATTCGCGCAATGCGTACTCTCGAAACCAACGTGGGTTCATGTACACATGCTTCCTTCTTTCGCTCCTGAGTTCAGTAGCCGCTTGGATCTGCCCTTCCCTGTCGCCGAATGTCGACACCACTCGTTGGAGAGAATTATATAAATCTCTCTCTCTCTCTCTCTCCTTCTCTCTCTAACAGAACAAACACAACAACACAACAACACACAGCAACACGCGATGTCGGCCGTTTCTCCGACCCTGGCTGCCCTCCCCTCCTCCCAGGCAACGTCACGATTTGGCTGGCCTCTGGGGTGTTTTGGGATATCCCTATGACATTCCCAGAGTGCGCCAGCGCGAAACGAGACTCTACTGGCCCCCAACCCTCCCCCCTTGAGAATGCCCGCTGCCGCCAAGGAAAAAAACGCTCTCCAGCCATACTGTCAACAATAGATTGCTCATGGCCAATCCAGCCCAGCTGCCGTGGCCAGTATTTTGCAGGATGCCCCTGGTCCTCACCCCGACCTCTGTGACAATCATCGCAGCGCCCGTCGAGAATGATCAAGGAAACGAAAGGCATTCCGGGCTCCACAGCGTTCAACCTCTGTGCGCGAGGATTTCGCGCCGATGCATGACGTGTTGAAATCACGTTAATGCAGTCTGACAGATCCCAAGACGAGAACGATCTCGAGGTTCAGACTGCCATGCTCGAACAATCCATGTGCGGATGCCACGAATCAACGGCAGCCGCAGGCATGGACAACGAAGTGTTACACCGCATGCCACCTGTCGAAAGACGGCAAGTTGAGCGCGTTGCAGAAAACGAGGAGGAGGAGGCGCTTAGGGGGCGTGATGTACTAAGGTCGCGCCCTCGGGCACGTTCGCAAGAAGAGCGGCCCTACGCATTTAACGTGCTGACCCCAAGGCCCCTCCGTGCAGCGTGTCTTTTCATGCGCCGATGTGCTGCGCCAGTGTTGGCAAGGTGGAATGGCCACTTCTTCCTCCAGCACATGATCCAAGAAGTTTGACCAATGCTGCCAAAGATGGCTCCTTAACCCACGAATTCATCAGGGGGGTGCAGAAATACATGGCCACGGGTGAGCAAAACGATTCGAACCCCAACGTCGTCACCCACGCTGAAAAAAAACATGGACTTCGGAGGCGGGCCTGTGCTGCTTTTCGGACAAGGATCGAGGGGGCGTCGGGGGGGGGGGCGCGCGTTCCCGCCCGCATGCGCGCCCCGCCAAGACTCCATGAAGCTCGGCCAAGATCGCCGCCCCGTCCCCTTCCGCTCGTCGCCAGTCGCCAAAGCGCGCATCCGTTTCCGGGGCCTCGCAAGCGGAACCCGTGGGACACGACCCCGCCGATGCGGGACGCTGTTACGCGGATGCCCCCGCGCGGGGCGTATCCGTGCGACCGCGGGTCCGAGAGATCGCGCCCCGGAAACCTGGCCGCGAGGGCACGGATGTGGGCGTGTCGTCGCTCGTGACACGTTCGGGTCCTCGAACGGAGTCGCGCGCTCCCGGGGGAGCCCCGCGCACGCGCAAGCCCTTCCGCTCTCGGCTAACGCGCCAGCTGCTGAGCGGGGCCTCCAGGCATGGCAGGGCGTGCCACGCCTGGACGCCACAGGTAGGCCAGGCTCGCTCGCATGACCAGCGTCGAACGTACCTATACGATCACGCGCAAAGTGATAGGGAGGTTGGGGGAAGGGAAAGAACGAACCGCTGCCAACTGCGACGGGCGTGATGCTTACGATGCTGGTGGCGCGCCCTCGAATGGGCAGCGGTGCGTGATGCCGATGTCGCGTTGCGATGCGATGTCACGAGCGACCCCGCTATCGATCTCACTCGATCGATATCACGATCGACATCACGGACAATCAGTATCTATGAGTCCAACGATAGATCCAAATTGAGATCTCAGACTGAGTGGCTGAGGCTACTCAGTCGGTGCCATGAGGCCAACTCGGTGCCACCGCGACTACGCTGTGATGGGTGTTTGCTGACTCTGGTGTCGCGTCATCGCCTCCGATGAAACTGCGCCCCAGAAGCCCGAGCCTGTCGGACTCGGTGACCGAGTCGCTACCAACACGGCCCATAACCCGACAGAGACTGGCACAGCCTTGGCACCAAAATTCGTTGCGAAAATGCGCTGGCAGAGCCTGGCGCTGACAACCGTGTTTCTCGGCTGGGCCGGCTTCCAAAGAACAGCCAGCCGAACACAAGGCTCGGACACAAGGCACCGAACTTTCCGCACGCGATCCTCCGACCAATACTCGCTGTCGTGGGAGCCTGGGAAGAGTCCAGCGGCGGCGTCGTCAGGACGGCCTGCCGCTTCACCACTCGACTGCGCGTCAGCGAAGCAATTTCGTCCTTGGACAATTCGTCAAATGCTCAACTGTGGCAACCGGCCGCGCGGCACTGGCAAAGCCCGGCGCCTGGCACGTGGCGGCCGACGCGAGCACGAGAGCGCCCTCTCTGTCCAACCGGTACGTTGGCATCCCACCGAAGTCACAGTAGCCCACCAAATTCAGCCGCGGGTGGGTCGCTCAGAAGGCAATCAGCGCACGTAGACGACACCTTGCACGTCTGATCGGCCAGCTCCTTCTCGTCGCTCACCGGCTCCAGGTGGGCAGTGCTCATGCCGCGCACGCGCAGCAGTGCCCGGGCAGTCCCAACAGTCGATCTCAGAATCGTTCTCGCGATCTATCGTACGATCTATGCTACGATCGATCTCGCCCGGCCAATCTCAAAACCGATGCCACATCCGACGGGACGCCGACGGGACATCCGCGGGACACCACGGCGGGACACCACCAACCACCGCCCGCCGACTGGGGAAAGGAGGGCCAGTGCCCCGCCGTATGGCCACAGCGGAGTCGTTCCTCTCGCCAAGCCCGTGCAGCTTCACCTCGCCCGCACGCACGCACAACACGAACCCGAAACCGAAACCGAGTTCCCGGGGAGGAGGAGGATGAGGAGGAGGACGAGGAGGAGGACGAGGAGGAGCAGGAGGGGGAGGAGGAGGACGAGGAGCAGGAGTAGGGGGGAAAGGGGGAGCTCGCCGCTGCACTTCGATCTCACCCCCCTACCTCCGATCCCTTCCCCTGTGCCTGACGAGCCCAAGGCGATGAGAATCCTGGGGGAGCGCCCTCGGAGACTGAAGGAACCCGACATCGAGATACGGTGATGTCGATCATGGGGATACGTTTATGTTCCATGCTGGTAGTCGCAATATTCAGGCCTTGCTTATAAGAGCAAAACCAAGCATATACAGAAAACCTTGGAACTCTGCGCGGATTTCTTGAATCTGCACCGGACCCCCTTCCCTGGCGAGCGGGGGTCAAGGCGCGGATCCAGCAAATCTGCGCGGAACGCCAAAAGTTTTTTGTTCATGCAGATCTTTCGTGTTCGAATCCGTACAGTGCGGGCGCGGCCGCAAGCAACCCTCGCAAGAACCCCAAGCCTGAAACCCGCGCGCGAGGTGCACCTGAGGGGAAACCCGGAGCACCCTGAACGCGGCAGCTTCTTCGACGGCCGCGGGAAGGCACCGCGCAGCGCGCGGAGCGAAGAAACCCAGGGTACCCTGACGAAAAGCAGATGGCTTCTTGCTGCGCGCCCCCACTGCACTCCTGTTTGATCAACGGCAATTCAAAATCGGACCCCAGACGAACCTCTCCCAGGGTCCAAGGCGCACCAGTGCCGCGACCTGCGCCCAGCCGCGGCGGCGAGGGGGCACCCCGAAGGCCAATTGCCGTTGTCTCCACTCGCCCTCCTCTGACTGCCGTTGCCCCCGAGGACCGCAGGGGCCGCCTCCTTACTGAGGCGCCAAAAACTATACACCGACGCCTTTTCAGGCTCCGCATTGACACTCGCATGAAAAAGCGGATCCTGGTGTATACGGGATCCTGGTGTATACATTTGGCGTTGTTTCCCTGGGAAACGGGGGAACAAGCATACACCACCGCCGCGGGGCCGCCGAGCGGGTCTACACAACCTTGGAGGAACACTAAACAGAACTGCATAGATATTCATTTTGGCGGTCCGCACGGATCCCTTGCATCTGCGCGCCCCCCCCCCCTTCCCTGGCGCGCGGAGCGCGCCGTGGGCGGCGTCGGAGGCTCCGCCAGGTGGGCCCAACGCAGCTCCAAGAAATCCGCGAGGAACTCAAATCTTGTAGTAGGGGCTCGACCACAAGAGACCTTCCACAAGAAACCCACCCATGAGACCCCAGGACGTCCGTCGATTCTTAGTGTGGGAACGTCACGCTCTCCATGGCAAAACCATCGAAACCCACAGAAAACACAGGGCACCCTGGAGGCAAGCAGGGTGTCCCTTGACATGGGCCTCCACTGTCAAGCTATGCACCTCTTTGTTTTTCGAAGCCGGGCCCCCCCGGGGGCGCCAGCCTGCTCCCGGACGCGCTGGAGACCCTGCCTGCACCCACGGCGGCGAGTATAATCTACCTGTACGGGCATTGCGGGGCGGGCGGCGTCGCGCCGGGAGGGGGCGAGTCTCGCGTGCACCCTGGGGGTCAGAATCGTTGGATGGGTGGGAGGAGGCAGCACGGGAACACAAGGTGAAAGAGAAAGGTCATGTTGCAGTGGCGAGCTGTCCACGACGGTTGCGGTCACCATCATGTTGCTGTGATGAGTTGTTCCCCGCAGTTGCGGTCAGCATTGTCTTGCGCTGGCGACTTCTCCCCCCCGTCCCCAATCCAAAAAAGAAGACGCATCTCTTACTTGCATGCGCACACAAGACGAGACGGGCAATGGCGTCTCTGGTCCAGAAATGTCGCCTGTCGAATGTATCGGGGCCAGTCCGTCAAGTTCACTGCCTCTTAGGGCCTGACCGCCTATCGCCGATGAGCCCCTCACGGAGACTTGGGAGGCATCTGAGAGTCCAGGAATGACGCATCTGGGAGCGCATAGGTGGTCTTGGAAGACACGTTGAGAGAAGGAGCAGCGGAGGAGACCAGGGTCGGGTGTTGCCAAAGGTGTCCCGGCCCAAGGGTATTCGGAATCCCCAGAATCCCCGAGGAGGCCCAGAAGGCCCTCTAAAAGCTCTTCGCGCGGCTCAGAAGGGCTCCAGGGGTTCCCAGAGAGGCGCGAAAATCTGGAGGCACCTTGGGTCAGAATATCCGGGCGACGGCGGACCATTGGCGGGGGGACCGACCCAGCACGAATTTAGAATCGGCGATGCATCGACGAAAGGTTGGCGACAGCTCCTCGCCAAAGCCCCTGGGCGATGTGGGGCACCCAGGTCCCTGGTGGATTGGTGATGGCTGGACAATTGGGGTCGATGCCCCCCCCACCCCCTGGCCAGCCCCCCCCTGTCGACGCCCCTGGGGCAAGGGGGGGCCCAGACCTCCCCGTGGGAACGATTGCATGTTTCCCGGACCGTGATTCTGGGCCCATGCCGATCAGAAATGGATCCGGAATGAACAACTCTCATGGGCAGGGGTCGAAAGTCCTGAAGATCGAACAGCATCTGCGTTTCTGCACGAATGCTTTGGCTGCAGCGATCCGCCCGCTGCATCCCGAACGGCGCCCCTCCATCCCCCTTACAACGCTTGAGCCCCCATCACGGGCAGGCGTGCCTGCGCCGAGACAAATAAAAGACCGTGCTTGTGGCGATCGCGACAACACCGCCGTGGTCACTGGCGCGTCTGAATTGGACAGGGACCGACCGTCCTGGCATTCCTATAGTCTTACCACGAAATGTTCTTAGAACCGAGAAATTTTCTAAGAACAATAACCATGTTCTTAGAACATTAGCCCGATGTGCTCAAACCAAGACAATCCCAGCCAGAGATGTTCTAAGAACATGTCATGCAAACCACAAGAGGCTCTTAGATCATTCTTTGGTGGGCCTATAGGCGAGCCAAGACGCTTCGCCACTGCTTGACTGAGGTGCCTGCGCCTGGCATTGCGGAGCGCCTGCATCGGCAAGGCAACGAGTGCCTGCGGTGCCTGCGCCAAAGCAGCCGCGCAGTAAGCGATGTCTGCGCGCCCCGTGCCTCGACGTGCCTAAGCGGTGCCGGCGCCTCGCCGGGCGCGCAGTTTTCCTCCGCCTTCGGACCACAAGGAGGCCTTGTTGATGCCCGCGGTGGCGCTGCGGCGCTCTCCTTCTCCCCCAAAGCGGTGCCCATTTTGGACGCCCGAAATGGGTACGGAAAACATTGGCACGGAACCCAACAAAAAATGTTGCCACAAACCAACAGCGGCCGCTGTTTGGAGGGCGGCCTTCTGTCTCAAATGGACACAATCCGCGGCGACGCCGATAGCGAATCCTATTCAAAATGAGCAAGAACTGTTGTCGGTCTTTGTACCCATTCTTTCCGTACCCATGTCGGTCGTCCAGGTCCATGCTCCGCCGGGCTCGGAAAAGGGAAGGTGCAGAGACGCCTGTAGCGAGATGGAGTGTGAGCGCGAGATTCGGGTCTCGGCGGCTGCGGGCCGCGCAGCAAGCACATGCACGCCCACTTGTCCGTCACGGCGCGGCAGACGCGCCGCTCGCGCGTCCCATCATACTGGGCTGCAACACTGCGAATTGTCCCGCATGCCAGAGAAAGACGGAAGGAAGAAGCCGGCCGCGGAGACAAGGGAAGGAGGATGTCGCACTCACGCAGCACACGCAGGCACACCCGCCTAGAACATCCGCCAACCATGTCGGTGTGTAGGGGGCTTTTCCTTTCGAATCGTTGTCGTTGGGTTGTCTTCGCGGCCCTCGCTGCCGCTCCTCGTTTCCCTGGGTCCTCCACCAGAGCGCGCCGGCCAGAGGGAAGTCCAGCAACGTGGCAGTCGAGTCGAGGGGAAGCCCCCTCCCTTTGATCCCTGCCCAACCCGCGGCGGGGGAGGGGATACAGTCAGGGGGTCGTGGGGACTGCTCCTGGGGGGGCGGTCCCATGGGGGGGTCTCGGGTCAGAATGCAGTCCCCTCCGTCCCTTGTCGGGCCCCCGCGGACATCAATTCAAACCCGAAGACGCTACAATTGAGCCCTGAAACACCCCAAGATCGCTCCAAGACGGTCCGAGATACCCTCAAGACGGCCTCAGGGGCCTCCAGACGCCCAAACAGAGCTCCAAGACGAGCCCCAAGAGCGGCCAGGCGGACATAACAGATTACGTGTGGTTGTTGTTAAACTTTTTGTGTCCTTGCATGTTCGACTTCCGACGCTCCAAGACGGCCAAGGAAGCCAACAACATCGCCCCAAGACGGTCCCAAAGGCTGTCGAAAGCGCCCGGAAACGGCTCAAGACGGCCCCCAAACCGCCTAAGAGGCCCCTAAGACGGCCGAGTAGGGCCCCAAGACATGCCCCGAGAGGCTACCCAGTGGAACTACCAACTGACATTTCGAGCCCGTTCCAAGATACCAAGAACGCCCGAGAAGCCCTCGAGAGGCTCCCAAGAGGTCCAAGAGAGCCCCAAGAGCATGTCCAAGACAACCACTAAGAGGCGAAATCATGGATGTGTCTTACGTGTTTGCATGTTTTTCGTAGTCGCCTCATCATCGTCGCCATCCCCCTTCAGGGTCGGCGGCACCTGCCGTCAGGCCTTCGCATCCATGCGACAGTATGCTGACAAACACGCGCTGCATAAGTGCCATCAATGCATGGAGCGGGCACGATGAGAGAACGGGAGTACGAGAAGCGTGGCTAGCAGGAGCAAGGGTTCTCTTGTAGCGTTTCTCTCTGCAATTCTTGCCTCCACACTGGCAGCTGCCTTAATTTGGCTTCACGGGCCTCACACCGCATGTGTTTCTACCCTGAAGCCTCTAGCACTGACAGGACGCGGCAAGCATTGCACAAAATGTCCGCTCAACGCGAGCACAAGAGCAGGAGAAGGTGAACAGCTGAAGCGAGGACGGACAACGCACCCAGCCTGCGTGACTTCGGCAGGCGATCGAAAGAAAAGAAAACAACGCTCGACCTGCCATCGCCATCGCTCGGACGTTCGGTCCCCATGCATTGTTCGGTGTCGTGTGTGATTGACTTGCTCGATGACCTCGGATGCGCCTCGAGGGTCCTTGCCGAAAAATGCACAAGTACGAGCGATGCAAAGTCGGAGGGCGCGGGTTCGGAGCGAGCCTCATGACATTGTCGTCGGTGCCAGTCCTGGTGCAGTTCACCCCCCCATCTCGGCTGCCTACTCCTTCTCTCTCTCGCTGTCTTCTCCCTCCGTATCTCTCGCTGTGGGGCGGGGGGCAGAACAAAGTTCACAACCAAACGTTCGCAGGCCAACGTTGTTCCTATATCTTGGTGGGTATCGGCTGCTTGCAGGCGCGGGAGATCACATTCACAACGATCTGGATCCCAAAGGACCCCGTGAAGAATTGGTGACTGATAGTTCGTCTCTCTCCCTGGAATGAATACCCCCGCCTTTGTTTCTCTCGATGGGGCCCTGCCAGAAATCCTGGACCACCTCTGCGAAAAGGCTATGAGAGCACGCGG